AAAGCAGGCTCTCCATTGCGTCGATGGAGGGGCTTGATCCCAGGACCCTGGGATCATGACCCAAGCCAAAGGATCATGATCAACTGACTGAGCCACCCAAACACCCTCCCTCCTTTTCCTGGGTCTTCATGGTTGAGGAGGATGGGGTGAGTGGAACATGGGGTGGGATACATTAGTGGGAAGCAAAATGTGACACATATGCTGATACCATATTATAAATAGTTGAATATCAGATTAAGGAATTTGAAGTTTATTTAGTATGCTGTGGGAGACATTTTGATTATTGACTAGATTAGTTCCATATTTTAAAAAAATAATTCTCATTGCAGAGTATAGAATGTTTTAGAAAGAAGAAAAGAGATTGGAGATAAGGAGAAGATGTAAGAAACTTACTCTTGCTATATTATAGGGTTCCTATGTTAGCTGAGAAATCTTCCAGCTCATACTTAAAAGATAGGTCTTACCATCGTGTAATAACTCAGACCACATCACATATAGGCTCCAGGGCTTCCCTGCTAATTTTGCTTTGATTTGTTAAGAAACGTTATGCAAAGTTTTTAGTAAAATAAAGGCTAAAATTTTATGTATATTGTGAAAATATCATTCATTTTCTCCAAAAGCTTATAAATTGATGAGTATTTTAAACCTGTTTGTTGTATTTTCTTTTCTTTTTTTTTTTTTAAATTTTTATTTATTTATGATAGAGAGAGAGAGAGAGAGAGAGGCAGAGATACAGGCAGAGGGAGAAGCAGGCTCCATGCACCGGGAGCCCGACGTGGGACTCGATCCCGGGTCTCCAGGATCGTGCCCTGGGCCAAAGGCAGGCGCCAAACCGCTGCGCCACCCAGGGATCCCTGTTTGTTGTATTTTCTAACAATTGTTCAAAATTTAATGTGTGTCATGTGCAAGGAGGTAATGGACAAAATTTTTCTCCCTTGGGAAAAGAGATGAATTCTGTTTTTCGTATGCTAATTTTCAGGTGCTTGGGTAGTTCAATTGGGGCTCCCTTACATATAAGACATAGAGTCATAAAGAAATTGAGAAAGATTAGAAGTTTTCTGAATAAAGATGGTAATTGAAACCTAGGATTTGGTGAGTTTGTGTATCTGATAACAATAATCTAAGATGTAAGTACAATGAAATGTTCTACTTTTTTGGCCTTAGTGAAATGAGATGCTTGCTTACGAATGTCTGCTGAATCAGAGTTGTAAAGAATGAACTAGATCTTTGGGTTAAATCAGGAAGGGGTCACTGGAGACTGAAGACTGCACTGATTCTGTGAGTACAGCAAGAGCAAAAGCAGACTGGAGGAGCATTAAGAGGAGTTGATAAGGAAGTAGAACATTGTAGTTAAAAAATTTTGTGAAGGATAGTAAAGTTGGAGGAATAAAAAATTATAGGGTTAAGTGGTGGTTTTTCCAGTTATATAATGTATAGATATGTGTCGTCAAACTTTGTATAAAGACAGGGAGGTTCGGTACAATTAAATGAAACCACCAAGAGATTAGTGCTGAATATATAATATTTTAGAAAGGAAAAATGAACCTTAAGAAGGAAAATATAATGAAATTCAGTAAGGCTTATTTTTATCATATAAACTTGAAATACAGAAGAATAATTTTAGAAGTCTCCAGTTAAAATTCTTTACAAGTAGCCACAGATTAAAAAATCATCCCACTAATCTTTGCATTTTTAATATATGCTTAGAGTGAATTTAAAAATTTTAAGGCTTTAGGGCAGCCCGGGTGGCTCAGCGGTTTAGTGCCACCTCCAGCCCAGGGCATGATCCTGGAGACCTGGGATCGAGTCCCGCAGCGGGCTCCCTACATGGAGCCTGCTTCTCCCTCGGTGTGTGTCTCTGCCTCGTTCTCTCTGTGTGTCTCTCATGAATAAATATATAAAATCTTAAAAAAAATAGAATAAAAAATAAAAAATTTAAGGCTTTAGAAATGCATAAAAACAGATGTTAAGAGTTGGATAAATACATAGAAAATATAGTTGCAGTATTTTTGGTGAGAAAAGAGAAGTATAATTGGAATATTTGATATGTAGATTTTAACATGATGTGATGAGAGGGAATTTTAGGTGTACCCATCATATTACTGTCTTTAAAAGAATGAGGGATGGTAAATTATAGGAGTATGATGCAGTGAAATTCACAACTGTTCCAAAATTATAATTTAAAATCTATGTATCCATGGAAAGAGAAATCTAATGGAAGGAAATGTTGACTATAAAATGTTTTTTTTTTAAGATTTTATTTATTCATGAGACACACACACACACAGGGAGAGGGAGAGAGAGAGAGAGAGAGAGAGAGAGAGAGAGAGAGAGAGAGAGAGATAAGCAGGCTCCATGCAGAGAACTGGACTCCCAGGTCTCCAGGATCACACCCTGGGCTGCAGGCGGCACTAAATTGCTGCGCCGCCAGGGCTGACTATAAAATGTTTGAAAAATTTCTAATAGACTAGATATTGTTCTTAAATTATAGGCATGATTGAAGTCATTATGAATCTCAAAGAGATGCTAAACCCATGGTACTCTAAATATATAAAGTAATAGTAGATAGTATTTATTATTACATCAGGTGTTATATGATTTATATATGTTAAAGTTAAATGAGCACCTTCAAAATGTAAAATAGTACATATTTTAGGTAGAAATTTTTTTTTAGGTAGAAATTTTAATAGAAAATGAAAAAATCCTTTTTAAGATGAAATGCATATCCTATAGACAATAGCTAAACTTTTAAAGTCAGTCTTAAAGAAATGAGTTGCAATCATATACTTTCAGATATGTGGAGTTGACATCAAAAACCTGTTTCCCCAACTGGTAATTTCTAATCTGTGGAGGTGGCATCTAGATGGTATTTATTGTTCTTGGTAGATCAAAGAGTGACCATGTTTTCCTGGGACTGAGAAAGGGAAACTTAATAGTGGTCTGCAGTAGGAACAGAAAGACCTACTTTAAAAACTCCATTCCATTAGAGATTTATATTAAAAAGTTTCTTTTCTCAGTGCAGGGTTTACACTCATACTTTTTCTGAATTCCTAAAGATTGAAACTTAACTAATAGTTATACTCTGAGAAATGAGAGTCTTGAGTTTTGTGTGTGTGTGATTAGGGAAGAATGAGAGAAAATGTTTTGAAAGTGAGATCCAAAGACTTTAGTAAAGAGACAGTTTTGCTAACAAAAATAAGTTAGGCTCTATGTAACTTGGTACCTGCTATGATTCCGTCTAGCTGGGAGGCTTTAAACCTTAGCTTCTAATTCAGTACTGTTTAACTTCTCTATCTTAGTCATGTTTCTCCCCATCCTAGTGAAAATAAATATCCCCGTTTCTGGGCTCTTTGGAATATGGCCTCCCTATAAATGTTGATGGTATACTGTATATAATATGTCACATATTTTCTAGTCTAACTTGTAATTGAAAGCCTAGAAAGACATATATAAATGGGATTCCAAAGTTATCTCTTGCCCTTTATATTCTATAACAGTTATGTATTAAATGGTAGAACATTCATTTTGGGGACTTACAGACTGCTTTGGACTTAGGTTTGTTGGTAAGAGGAAAGGCTGTATTTCTGAATTCACATGATTCTGAGCTATAGAATGTGAATCTTGAATAAGCTCATTAGATTTGTGGGAATCTATACATCTATACATCTATCAAAATGAACTCTAACATCTTTATGTAACAAGCTACTTACTCTTTCATTATACAAAACAGTTACTTTAGTTTACCTCCTGAAAAAGAGATGGTGGATGGTGAGGATGGTGAAATTCGGGTGGGTTTTTAAATATATCATAGGAAGATCTTGTGTTTTAGGGTAAGAGACACCTGGATTCCTACTACTTAACGTATGTATGTAACTGCAAGGTACTATGGAAGCAAACTCAGAGGAGTTACCCAGAAAATACTTCCATATGTAAAGCTCATATCCTTATGGGATACTCATTAATGAATGTTATTAGTTCTTTTCTTGTTTTACAGGACAAGTGAAATGTTTTCTGAAAACTAATTGGAAAATGTTGGGAAAATATTTAAAGTAGTTATATAGCGGAGTAAATTACCAAGTTAGGTGTTAATAAATTAAACATGGAAAGGACTACTTTTCCTACTATGTAGGATGACTTGATTTAATGTGAACATTTTCTATATTAATTATTAGTTATGCAGGGTTTGGAGAATTTTTATTAAGTTTCATAATAAATTTAACATGATACTGAAATTCTTTTTATGTTAAAAGATTTTGGAAAGACTGTCCTATTGTGAAAGAAGGAACCTATAATCAGAAATAATCTTGATTAGCATCAAGGTCGGACAGCCCCGGTGGCGCAGCGGTTTGGTGCCACCTGCAGCCCAGGGTGTGATCCTGGAGACTCTGAATTGAGTCCCACATCGGGCTCCCTGCGTGGAGCCTGCTTCTCCTTCTGCCTGTCCCTCTGCCTTGTCTCTGCCTCTCTCTCTCTCTCTCTCTCTGTGTCTCTATGAATGAATGAATGAATGAATGAATGAATAAATAAATAAATAAATAAAAATCTTTAAAGAAATGAATCAAGGTCAATTCTACATGAGTTAATGCACATGTATATTTCCTATTTGAGTAGCATCATCAACACTCTTAAGTGGATACCTTTATATTGGTGATAAGATATAAGAAGAAAAAAAAGTTGTGTAGCAAATGATCAGGTAATACCACTTTAAAAAAAAACTACAATTCTAAAAGTCATTTCAAATACCAAACTTTCATTATATGTGTTTCTGTTAATTTGTAATATTAGAAAGGCCATCTCTCTTTTTGTAATTTTCAGTATAAGATTAATACAAAGTGAATGAATGACATACTATATTGTTAGTGAACATGATTTTATAATGTAATTTCTGCTTTTTTTAGCCAAATGAGTTTTTTTTCCATGTAGTAAAATGCATTTATTTAAAAAAGGAGAGGTACAGTACATTATAATTGTAAGGACATTTTTATATTAAAGATGCCAGTCTTTTGGACTTAAATTGGAAAGAGTTTTATTTACTACCTGAACAAGGAAGTTCATAATCGAGGCTGAAATCTTGTCTATATTACCACATATTTCTAATTACACATTATTTTAAGCTTGTATATTTTAAACCATGGTTACAGAATTATTATATAGGAAATAGACTGAAGGTATTACCTTATTATATTTGCTGGACTTTGGCTTAATTCTCTACAACTTCAAAATACTACTGTGATATGAAACAACAGAATTATATTTACTCTGATAAAAACAAGCTCTGAACTGAGTCCTTCATTGCATTTTTCTAAAGAACTCACTTCTCATGAGCAAGTGTTCAATATCATATAGTTAGGAAACCATTATATTATTAAAACTTGGATTTTTTTCTTTAACTGTATCTCAGTATTTTAAATATTTACATGTTTCAGGATACTTGCAATTAAACTGCACATTTTGATCATATCTTGACTACAACATTAAAAATAAATAAGACATTCAAGTAAACGTCTTTCCAAATCATATTGCCAGTGTGCATGAAGCTATTCTCTGAAGACTAAAAGCTCTGCTTGTTTGGAAAAGGCAGTGATTAGGTCTTTATAAGCAATTGAGGTTCTGTTTTCCTTCTAAACGTTCCTTTACTAATTTTTCCAAAGAGAAAAGATGCTCATCTGCATCTTCTGGCACAAGATTCCTCATAGAATTTGCAAGTTCAAAAAGATATTCTGTATTTCTTCCACTTGGACCAGATGCATTAAAAATTTGTTCAGCAATGTCTTCAAGAGGTGCAGGACCAAGGTAATTAGGATTATCACATGTTCCAATATATAGCAACACACTGAATGGTTTTGTTGTGGGATCTTTTGGATAAAAAAGGACTGTTGTGGTTCTGTAGCCTCCTTTCTCTCTGAAGTCAAGGTATGCTTTTACTTCTTCTTCCTTTCCTACTGGCAGTCTATAAGCAACACCCCATACACAACCCTGTTGAAAAATGAAAATATATTATTTAGTATTTACAAGGCTAAAATAGGTGAAGATATGTACTTCTCTAAGAAAATCTCTTGTGCACCCAGAAGTACAAACTCAACAAAACAGGTTGTCATTTGTATTCTGGATGGAGTAATTTACAAAGGATATTTGAAAGTTCCTGCAGTGAAAAAATGAACAAATAAAATTAACTTGCTATGGCCTTAAGTAGTTGATGACTTTCTTGCCAAACTTTTAAAAAACAGAACCCTTTCTGCAAACAAGGGCACACTTGATACATGAAAAACCAGGTGATGCTCAGCTCTAGCTGAAGCAAGTTGGGGTATCAAAGCCCTCTCAGCCAGCACCCAGCACTTTAATCCACTTACAGCCCCTCAGGTAGGCTTCAGAGTGGCTACAGTACTCCATGAAGCAGTTTGGAAACTACTGCCCTCTACTATTAGTGAAATGTTTATGGATTTAAAACCTTTTAACTCTATTTTTAATGACCAAAGGAACACCTGATATATGTTCCACTGGCTAAAATACATAATTTTGAAAACTTAAACAATGATAAGTACCCTAGTATGCAAGGAAATTATTCAGAATGAAGAATTATTTTAAATGCTGATTTCCTTGTTCATAAAGTGTCAGTAAAAACAATATATTTTGGCTGCAAAGTTTTTTTTTGTGTTAATAAATTATCTATGATATAAGCAGGACTTACAGTTTGTAGTGTAGATATTCTAGTTAATTCACAACCTTTAATTATTAAGTTTAAAAATTAAATTTTAGGTTGCTTAAGTATCTTGAGTGAATTTAACATTCTATAGAAACAGTACTATATTAACTTTAAGAGTTACAGTTATCAGTTTGAAGCCTTTTTTTTTTTTTTTTTAAAGTAGGCTCCATTCCTAACATGGGGCTTGAACTCAGGATCCTGGGATGAAGAGTCGAATGCTGTACTGAGGGGGCTAGCCAGACACCCTGAAGCCATTTTTATATATTCTTTTCCTAATGCAAATTATGAAAGCACTTCATCTCACTATTTCACCATTATTCATCTGCTATTGATTGCTGCTTGATTTTTATATATCAAAGTTGTTTCCAAAGTTAAATCTTTAACTTCAAAATATAAAAGTTTGTATCACATGTCAATGAAATGATTGAAAGTATTTAAGAAACAAAGGACTATCAGGTAATTACATTTTCTAGTGCTCCAAACCTCTTTAAAATCCTGTTGTGGGATCCCTGGGTGGCGCAGCGGTTTGGCACCTGCCTTTGGCCCAGGGTGCGATCCTGGAGACCCAGGATCGAATCCCACATTGGGCTCCCGGTGCATGGAGCCTGCTTCTCCCTCTGCCTGTGTCTCTGCCTCTCTCTCTTTCTCTCTGTGACTGTCATTAAAAAAAATAAAAAATAAAAAATAAATCCTGTTGTGCTAGTAATAAAATTAGGCAATAAAGTAATAATTCCTGACTGGGATTTTTGCTAAGAATAGTAAACCCCCAGCAATATGAGGAGAGTTTTAAGGGTTCCATTTGATTCTTAGTGACAGTCTGGTTGTCTGAAGGCTGGCTCCATTAATTCTTAGTCAATAAACTCAGTAAGAAAAGAAAAATGAAAAAAAAAAAAAAAGAAAAATGTGACTGCATGCCATTTGGTTATTGTCTACCTTGCAGTCTGCATTCCAACTTTTCCCAACAATTGAAAAGAAACACAACAAATACAGAGAAGAATTCTAGATCTGGTGTTCAAACTGTCTCTGATGACTGTTGATAAAATTTCATTGATTATTAAAACTGAGAAACATTTCAACATTTTATATGATTAAAGACTATACAGAAAAGAATAATTATACCATACCCCAGGATCTTCAACAAGAGTCACAACTCTTCCAGGCTGTTTTAAAAAAAGTAAAAAAAAAAAAAAAAAGTATATATATATTTTTCTGAATCAGTTTATCAACTAACCGAACATTAGCAATTTATTGTTGACATGGAATATTTCAATTTCATTTGTTCATACTGAACACTATTTTAGCACTTATTTTTTCTGATAAATCTTCAAGTGAATTAACTAAGAAAATACACCTATCCTTTCTAAAAGGATCCTTTCAATTTGTATATATTAGCTATATTATGTTCACTTAAAATTGATATATTAAAAAACACACGTGTCTAAGGCTTACCTAAAATGAAAGGCAAAGGAAGACACAGTTATAAATACAAGTCCTGGTCAGATTGCTATAGTTTTATTAGGGAACAAAACATGCTCTTCCAGAGTGCTTTCCTGTAATAGGTGGTTTTCAAACTTTTAGTGTAGATCAAAATTACCTGGAGTGTTGATAAACACATTGCTTGGCCACCGTCCCAAAATTTCTGATCCTGTAGGTCTGGAGCTGTTTGCCTTTTTTTTTTTTTTTTAAAGTACACTTCCTACTTAGTGCCAAAGGGTATAACATGTTAGCATCATTAATGAGAATGCTGAATTATAAGCATTGTAACATTTTTGCTTTAACATTTGTTTGCCTATTGTCTGGCACATAGTGAGCATAAATCATGCAGATATTTTGTGTTTACTGCTATTTCCTCTAGTCTTTGTCTATTTGTATAGACAATTTGTAATCATGGAAAACATGGGATTTTTTTTTTAAACTTTTTTAAAATTTATTTATGATAGTCACACACACACACACACACACACACACAGAGAGAGAGAGAGAGAGGCGCAGAGACACAGGCAGAGGGAGAAGCAGGCTCCATGCACCGGGAGCCCGACGTGGGATTCAATCCCGGGTGTCCAGGATCGCGCCCTGGGCCAAAGGCAGGCGCCAAACCGCTGCGCCACCCAGGGATCCCGGGATTTTGGATTATGCTTCTTATTTAATTATATTTTCTTGTTAGTCTTATACATTTTAATAGTTACATAATATCGTATCATCAATGAGCTAATTTAAGCATTCTTGTGTTGTTGGGCCTTTAGATTTGACTTGTTTTCTACTTAAGAAAATGCCACAGTGAGGATACATATATTGATGTGGGTCATACTGTCAGTATTACCATATTACTTTTTTTTTTAAGATTTTATTTATTTATTCTTTAGAGACACAGAGAGGCAGAGACATAGGCAAAGGGATAAGCAGGCTCCTTGAGGGGAGCCTGATGTGGGACTCGATCCCGGCACTCTGGGACCACAACCCTGAGCCAAAGGCAGATGCTCGACCACTGAGCCAGGTGTCCCTACCATATTACTTTGAACTTCAAAGTTAATTAGAAGCTTATTTATTAAATACCTATATTGTAGAGAAGATAAAACCTTGATTCTTGCTTTACAAGCTTATAATTTTGGAATATGAACTTAACATGTGAAATAGAGAACACTTAGGGCCAAGGTGAATGGTATGAGCACAGTAAGAATTAGAGTCTTGGGTGGTCAGAAAGGAAGACAAAATTCGGGCAAAAGGCATAATTCACAAGTGTGGACCCAGAGGCAAGACTACACAGGCTAAGTGTCTGACTTTAGTAGATGTCCCCAAATGCAGAGATGATTCAGAAAGATAACTGGAGACACAAAATGGTCAGATTTGAAGAGCCAAAGAATGGATGTGAAATTATGGGACAAAGGAAAATAAGCCAATGAAATTTGGGAGAAATAGGAAATTAGGAGCTACTGTAACACTTGAGGAGATGACTGATGTGATAAAAGAAGTGTGTGGGAAGATCCGAGTGGTAAAGTGTATAGTATGCAAGTTAGACTGGGAAGGAGGTAGACCCTTGAGTAAAATTTTAGTGGTCCAGGTGACAAGTTCTGCACTCCTTTTTTCCTTGTCTCCCTTATATCCAGCCCAGTCATCAATTCTTGGTTGCTCTGTCTTTTGATTCTTCTTTTTTATTTGTTTAAAAAAGATTTTATTTATCATGAAAGAGAGCACGAGAGAGGCAGAGGGAGAAGTAGGCTCCATGCAGGGAACCTGATGCGGGACTCAATCCTGGGACTCTAGGATCACACCCTGGGCCAAAGGCAGGCACTAACCTGAACCATCCAGGGATCCCTGTCTTTTGATTCTTCTGTATCTGGTTCGTCTGTAGCCTTCAGTTGCTTTCTTAGAGACCTCACTGCCCACCTCTTGTTTACTTCTAGTTCTCTACTTGGCCCTGGAATGACTATGCAAAAATTGGGCCACTCACTCCTGTACTTTGAATTTTTCAGGGTTGTAATATTCTACAAGATAAAATAAAAATTCCCCAGCATTACTTAACACAAACCTCATTTCTTACCGTTTTTCACCTCAAGCTGTACTGATTTATTTCTAACTTGTACAAACATTCATGTCTTTGGATATGCCAGTACTCAGTGTGGATTGCCCTTCCTTTTCCATCTCTGGGATATCCTCCTGCCATTCTGTTCATAAAGGCTTGGCGGACTACCCAGGCAACTTTGCAGCACCTCCTTCTCCTAAACTCTCATTTCTTCTTTTATTCACTTCCCTTGTGGCACTTGTCAGGTATTGCTGTTTGCATAGGTGTCTCCTACTTACATATTTAAGTGCTCAGTAAGAACTGTTGAAAGAGGGGAGTGGTAGAAAAGTCCTGGACTTTATAGGTGGTGGCAGGTGGCAGGAAACAGATTGAACAGAGTACATAAGGAATCATTTTAAGGGTAAATAAATGGACTCTCTGTGACTGTTTATAGATGATAAAGACATGGACTTTTGGCACTAGTGATAAATTTACTTGGAAATATATATTTTTAAAATGTTAATTTATTTTAGAGAGAGAGAATGTATAAGTAGAGGGAGGGGCAGAAGAAGAGGGAGATAATCTCAAGCAAATTCCCCACTGCATGCAGAGCCTGCTGTAGAGCTCGATCTCACAATCCTGAGGTTATAACCTGAGCTGAAATCAAGAGTCGGATGCTCAACTGACTGATCTACCCCCGTGCCCCTTGGAAATATTTTCTAAAACTTAAACTTTTTGTCCCTAAAATAAATATATGTTATTGAAAAACAGTGTACATTTATAAATCACGTGAAAGCTTTTTTGGAGAATGAAACTAAAGGGGTCTTTCAAGCTGAATAGGGTTGGAGGATATCATGAAATATGAATCATTATAGGTGCTTTCATTGAATAATTTTTCTGATCTAGATCTAGAACAGAGATTTCGTAAATGTTCATGATTATCTCTTATGTTAAAATGTTTCCTTTTTGAAATTGAAATATATTCTCTGTGCTGTGAAAAAGTGTTCACATTTAAATAAATCCTTAGTTTGGTGAGATGTTGCCAGTTTTGTTATATATAAACGAGATACTTAATAAAACTTAGGAAGAAATTAAAGTTTAATGAAGCTAAAAAGAAAGCATAATTGAATAAAGCAAGTAGGTTTGGTATTTTTCCCACAAATGTCACATTGCAGGGTGTGGAGATGAGCCTAACATTTTTTTTAATAATAGCACAATTCATATGGTGACTAACTTACTAGGACCATATGTTGCTGTAAAAAACATAGTCCTATAAAACATCCATGTCATTCTTCTAATTGGCTGGATATCTATGTAGCCTTTTGGATTTTTGTTTGCTAGACAGTTAAGACAGATCACAGTAAAGCTGGTGATCTGTTATAATAAATGTTAAGTAAAATAATAATGTTCTTTCCAGGGTTTTTTTAAAAATAGAACAGTATACTTACAAAATATTTGGTACACAGACTTCCTTTTTAATTTGCTATGATCCTTTAAAAACTTCTAGACATTGCAGTCTTCCTGTCCCCCAACTTACCTGCCCTATATTTTAGTAAATTTAAGTAAGAAGATACTGGCTTTTATAGCTCCTTTCTACTTTTAAAGAATCATGAGCAGCTGCATTGGCTTGACAACTTAATCATTCTCTTCTGACAGTGTACATATCTCAATGTGCTATATGATAAATGCATCGTACGTTTTGACTGAAACTAGAGTAGTAAAATGTGCTATTGAAGCCATATTTGTGGGGCTCCTGGGTGGCTCAGTTGGTTAGGCATAGGACTCTTGATTTCAGCTCATGATCTCACGATGGTGAGCATCAAGTCCCTAATTGGGCTTGGTGCTGGACATGGAGCCTGCATAAGATTCTCTCTCTCCCTCTCCCTCTGTTCCCCTGTACCCTCAATGTTTGTCCCACCAATGTGTGTGTGCAGATGCTCCCTCTCTCTCAAAACAAAGTAAACAAACAAAAAGCAAAACCACATTTGTCATCATTTAACATTTGGTCATTAAAATTGGAGGCTGGGTTAAGGATTTTCTCTTCAGAATAGAAGTTTTAATTAAGTGTTTGTATCTGACAACACAAAAGGCACTTTACTTAGAAGTTTTACTAACAAGTTTCATTTTCCTTAACTCTGTAAAATCTTAAACATTGTTCTTTACACCCAATGTGGGGCTCATATTTAAACCGGGAAATCAAGACTCAGCATACTTTAGCGACTTTGCCAGCCAAGTGCCTGTTTTATAATATTCTTGAGGAAATTTTGGTCATAAAGTTTCTGGTGGCTTACAAATGTGCATCTGCCCTAAGTTACTCCCCTATTTTGAAGTCATCTGCCTATCTTAAAGCCAAATTCTACCATTTTATATATTCTGTTCTGGGGCCAATGTTAATTTCTTTTCAAGAAACAGTAATCAAGCTCATATAACTCTCAGAATACTTGAGATAACATATAAACAAAAAATTTTGTACACTTCCAAAAGTTAGAGGAGATTAACTAAAACATATTTAAGGTATCCAAATTGTTACCCAAAACTTAAGTTTTCCTCGTGGATTTGGTTGCTTTGCAGCCAATACAAGGCTAATCTGCATAAACAGCGAGCTGCTACTACATTAGGATGAATGTCTTTGTATGACTGAAAAATGGATCAAAGAACTTACATCTCTCATTCATAATTTAGAGAAGAAACTTGGAGAAAGAACCATTAGAATAATGCTGCACGGAGTAACGGGTACTGTGTTACTTAAGTAACAAACCAGGAACTCATTTAACTTTGCCAGTACCTGACAACCAAAGCAAGTGACCAAAGTGAGCTCCTTAATAACCGGAGCTTATTTTGGAAACTATTTCTTCTGTGACCTTAGGTGTCATAAACGAAAACCTTTGGACCGACACAAAGAAACCCCAGAAATAACATGTTCGCTTCAACTGAAACCAACGAAAGTCTGCCAAAATGCAGAAATGCCAACAAACTTAATGATAAAAAGTTGAACGCGCAAGTTGTTTTGGTATTTCAACTCCGTGGTGACACGAAGATTGATCTTCCCGCCTGTTTTTTGTTTTTGTTTTTTTTTTTTCTTTTGGCAGAGGTTGCCCAGAGCTGGGCCCCCTCGGAGCACGTCAGCCTTGTGGAGCTAGTGTGCTTGCGCCCACGTTTCTTGCTTCCTCAAGAAGCTAACCCCCCGCATCTCCAGGGGCTTCGGGAGGGGTGCGCTTGGCTTGGGAGAGGTGGGGGCAAGCGACCGAGGGAGCCGGCCGGCCGGACAGCTTCACTCCTGGCGCGCTTGGGCAGCCGTCCGACACGCGGGCGCTGGTCCAGCAGAGCCGGGCCAGGGGCTGGGGCGGCGCTCCGAGGGCAGTAAGGGCGGGGGGCTGGTTGGCGCCTCACCTTGCCGGGGACCCCGCGGTGGTCGGTGCTTCCCTGCCAGAAGCGCCTGTTGTAGCCTGTGATGTATCCGACCAACTTGTCCTGATAGGGGAAGTCCACCTTCCAGATCAGGGACCCGTAACCAAACACCCACATCCTTCCGTGGCTCGGCGGCTGCGGGGGCGGTCGAGCCTCGCCCGGTCCCTGCCGCGCCGGCTCCAGCGAGGACTGCAGCCTCCCCGACGCAGGGAACCGGCCGCGCGGGCGCAGGCGCAGTGGCCGCAGTGGCCGCACTGTCCGCTCGGGGGCGCAAAGCACCCTGGGACGTTTAGTTCGAGAGACGTCTTCCGAGGCCGCGTAACTTTCTTTGCTTGCTGAGGAGAGCGGGAGGGACTGGCCTTCCGCGTGCCGAGCGATGGGTTCTCCCGCAGCCTCTGTAGCTCGCCGTGACCTCCCGGTTCGCGTGTGCAGAGGCCTGCGGCGCCCACAGTCCGCTCCTGGCATTTGCGGCTCAGGTCGGACTGTCCGCTTCCTTCGAGCGGGTCCGAGGCGCGGCGGCCCCGGCGCGGAGGGGGGACGGCGCGGCGCGGCGGCGGGCGCGGAGGGAGACGTGTGGCGCCGGCGAGCGGGGCCGCTGCCCGTTGGGCGGCCGCGGGGCAGCGCGAGCCGCCGGTGCCGCCCTCGGCTTGCCGCTCACCCCCCGCCCCCCGCCCCCCGCCCGTGCACGTCTGCCTTCGCGCAACGCAGTTTGCCCCCGGTCGTACGCCGCGGCCGAAGTGCTGCCGTGCAGCTCGCACTGACGTTCACACGCGGAACGGCCTCGTCCGCTTCGGTGTTGTGAGCGGCTCCTTCAGAAAAGAGTAGGTGCGGCTTTTGTCTCCTGCGCCGGCTTTAGAGGTGATGCGTCTAACCTGCCGTGGTATCCGGTTTGGGGTGTGGGCGCGTTGCTCCGGGGAGAAGCGCCAGCCCCTGGCGGGGTCCCTCCCCCGCGGGTCCGCGTCCCCGGGTCGTGTCGCGGGCGGCGGGCGGCGGGCGTCCTCCCGGGGTGGATGTCTGCGTCGTGGTCCTCAGCGACAGAACACGATTTTAAAGCGCCCAGACACAAAGAGTATTATTCGGACTCTTAAGGAACCAGAAGGAAGCTGTTAGAAAGAAAAAACTTAGCTTAAAAAATAAAGGTCTTTTCGTGTATTTTCCAAGTTCAAGTTTCACATTGCCCAGGATGGTTGGCTTCCACCTACGCCGAACCTTCTCGAAAAGTTTCAGACATACAGAGAAAAGGATTGAGCAAGTATAGTAACCGTCCCGGTACTCTCCACCTGGATCCACTCTGACGTTTAGCCAGTTACTTCCCCCCCTCTCTGTACTTTTTAATCTAAAACATTAGAAGTGAGTAGCAGCTGTTACTTTTTAGTGCCAAGTACTTACAGAATGCCGTTATCACGTCTAAGAAAATGAACAAAATGACATCTATTACATATTTAGATTTCATTCATGGTCTCACAGTTGCTTTTTGAGGCTGATATTTTCATTTTTATTTATTTATTTATTTATTTATTTATTTATTTATTTATTTATTTATTTATTTATTTAAGACTGGTATTTTTAATACTTTTCACCATCCAGGATCCATTTCAGGTTTATACACCACATTTGGTTGTTTGACCTCGTACTCATTTTTAGTCAAGAATGTGGGAAGGATTTTATAGGAGATCTTGCATATAGTTGATGCATGTTAAGGAGTTGGCTGGCATTAAGGGTGGAGGGGAGTGATTCTGCTATAGTATATTTCTTTTGGCTTCTCCTTCCCTTAAGAATCTCAAAGATATTACCCAGTTCCAATATTTTTTTTTTCAGGTTATTTTCGTTAATCTAGATCCATTAATAGTATTTGTAACTGAGAAAAGCCACAATTGGAAAGGGATTCATACTTGTTTTTACTAGAATACTGTTTTTTAAGGTCTTTGGAGGGGTATTCTTGTCTCTGTGTGTGTCTGCGCGTGCATATGTTTTTCTTACATAGGAACAATTTTTTCTTGTGTTAGGTGAATATGCTGTAAATTGCCATAAAACATGTGGTCTCTTCTTTTTTGTGAAACTTGGATGTAATGGCTTTAGCTGGAAGTTAGCATCTTTCAACAAAGTGTAACTTAGCATTCATCCTCCACAGTTTGGCCTTTAGCTGCCTCTGTAAGCTCCTTTTCCTCCTGTTTTTTGTTTAGCTAATCCTCCTTCCAAAGTAAAGTAATTTTCCCCTTAGTCACTGTCCCTATTCACCCTTGCTTGTTCTTTTACATAGTGTTGGTTGTGTTTCTCCTTTGGCCTAGGAATGCTCCTCTGCCCTTTTTCTCATTGTCAGATCCTGTATTGAAGGGCCTGTTCACATCCCTCACATCTTCTCACTAGGACGAAACCTCTTCCTTCTTTGACCAGCCATGGCTCTTTATCTCTACTTGTCTTGGAGTACTTTCTTCCTTCTGTTTTGAATAACATGTATTTATCATTTCTGTGAGGCTGTCCATAAATCTATATCATCTTTATATCTGCCACTTTACTGATCAGCTGTTGGTGCATAGTAAATAGCTGTCAACTGCATAATTAGATATTCTGTAATAAATATCTTCACTTTTCTAGTAACGGACCATTTGATCCAATCAGATTAACGGTAGCTAATGTTAGCTTTTAGGCTGACTATAGAATCAACTTCCGCAGTTATAGCTTTATATTTTAATGTGACAATGGATAAATTTAAATTTCTTACAAGAAATGCTGTGTGCTTTTTCTTTTTAAGATTTTATTCATTTATTTGACACAGAGAGGCCGAGAGAGAAAGTACAGACAAGAGGAGTAGCAGAGGGAGAAGAATCAGGCTCCCTGCCAAGATGGGAACCTGATGTGAGGCTTGATCCCAGGATCCTGGGATCATGACCTGAGCCAAAGGCAGATGCTTAACTGACTGAGCCACCTGGGCGCCCTGCTTTGTGCTTTCTTTTAATTTCTCATTTTAAACCTTCTTTTTTTTTTTTTTTTTAAAGATTTTATTTATTCGTGAGACAGAGAGAGGGGGGGGGGCACAGACACAGGCAGAGGGAGAAGCAGGCACCATGCAAGGAGCCTGACATGGGACTCCATCCCGGGACTCCAGGATCAGGCCCTGGGCTGAAGGTGGCGCTAAACCATTGAGCCACCCGGGCTGCCCTAAACCTTCATTTTCTGTATAGATTATTTAGAATGGGGTTGTAGAAAGTTTTTCACCTGTATTGGACTAGACATGTTGACAATTCATGAACCACCTCCTTACATCATTAGAAAAACTAAGAAAGACTGGAAGATGAGTGTTATTAAGAGGCACTGCCCCTTGGGAGATGACCCTTTCCCTGAGAATCCTGAACCTTAGCCTCATACAGTATGATTAACAAGAAGCTGTCTTTGTGAGAATCATCTGCTGAGAACTGTACTGGGGGAACTTGAAATGACCTTTGGAGGGAGATGATGAGGGAGAGGCACTAATGCTGTCAAGAAATTTCCAGGCTGGTGTAGGAAAGCTGGACTCATCTTTTTATGATGTTCTTATTCGTTTCAGTGTATTCAAAATATTCCATCAGTGGGACATTTTCATCAAGGAAAGAAAACATGAATATGTAAGCCTCTTTTGGAACGCACCAGCAGAAAAACTAGTTATTACTTATCTTTGTTCTTTTCCTTTGTTCATTCCTTTCCTAGCTTTTTTTGGATTTAGCTTTTCCCTGGAGTGGACTGCAACTTAATTCTTGAGGCTGAGCATTGCTGTTAGTTAAATGGCCATCTGTATGTAAAAGACTACATCTTGGGGATTAACTGGAGGTGTTTAGCTCCTTCATCCACGGAATTCCAGTGAATGCAATTCGGTGGAATATGAACAGGAGCAGAAGACTGCAGGAAATTGCTGCTCGGACATTTCTAGAAGTGGAATGATAGAACACTTAAAACTCTTGGTATCTTTTTTTTTTTTTTTTTTTTTGGTTTGAGATTTTATTTATTTATTCATGAGACACACAGAGCATGAGAGAAAGAGAGAGGCAGAGACACAGGCAGAGGGAGAAGCAGGCTCCATGCAGGGAGCCAGACGTGGGATTCGATTCCGGGTCTCCAGGATCAGGCCCTGGGCTGAAGACAGCACTAAACCGCTGAGCTACCGGGGTTGCCCTCTTGATATCTTTAATAACATTCCAAGGAATCCCAGTTCCCCAGAGACATTTCTGGTTTAGACTCCAGCAGAGGCTGTGGAAGCCTCTGCCTCTGTAAGCTCCTTTTCCTCAGGTCGCTTGACAGGTCGCTTTCTCCACCTTAGGCTTTTCCTCAGCAGTCCTGTGACAGATGCAAGATAGGCTTGCTTCGATCTGCTAATCTTTAGGAGTACAGTGTTGTTTTATTGTCTATAGTGTTTTCTTTCTGCCTTGTTTTGTAGACTGGTCAAAAGAATGGATTTTACAGAGGCTTACTCTGACACATGCTCCACGGTTGGACTTGCTGCCAGGGAAGGCAATGTTAAAGTCTTAAGAAAACTGCTCAAAAAGGGACGTAGCGTTGATGTTGCTGATAACAGGGGATGGATGCCAATTCATGAAGCAGCTTATCACAACTCTGTAGAATGTTTACGGATGTTAATTCATGCAGGTAAAGTAAATTCAGGGTATGGGAGGCTGGGCCTACAAGCTGGATCAATAAAACATAAAAAAATCATCATGTAGGATTTATTAACAGTAGTATTTGTATTCCTTTTCTCTGACCATAAAAGAACTGTCTATGCATTATTAAGAATGATAAGATTGCTTGTCTTCAGTTATATAAGTTTGTTGTACCAGATGGACATCTATAAATGTTGTCCTTTATGTGTAACTTGCTGTGCCTGGACCATTTTTATTGTCTGAGTGAGCTCTTTTAATTAAGCATTTGGTAGTTACTGGTCATGTTTATTCTTTTTTCCTTTTCCAAACCAAAAGAACAGTGTTCTTGGAATTGTGGGTATGAGTGCTTTGTTTGAATTAGTCTTTTTTTTTTTTTTTTTTTTTTCCATTTGAGGTCATGGTAGAGAACAGGATAGACTAGGTCCCTGCCTTTATGGTGCTTATATTCCTGTCGGGGGAGACAGACAATACCTAAACATTAAACGAGATAATTTCAGATTGTAAAAGTGTTGTGGAGGGAGTAAAAGGGTAATGGGACAGAGAGTAGCCATGTGTACCTCTTTCCAACTCTGTGTTCAGTTGACTTTGTGCTTATAACCTGAGATCAGTCAAGTGAGAATATTTACATTTCAGAAATCAACCAGTGCTGTAAACCAAAGCTATAAATTTGGGCTTTTTTCCCCCCTTTCTGAGAGCCAGTAGTATATTTGTGAGCTCACTATTGAGAAAAGGACTCAGTAAAAGAGACTAAATGAGAGATTCTGAGGTTGAGGGGATAATGGTGTTTGAGCACTGCTTTGTAATAGTCATTGTATTAGATCCTTGATTTACATTATTTAATACGTACGAAATTGCTCTTGAGGTATTGTTATCCTCATTTATTGGTGAGAAGTTTACCAAGTGTCAGAGAAGCGGATTTGTCCAAAGATTATATAATAAACTAGAACCCATTTCTCTGATTCTGAAGCCCACCTTTTTTCCACTATGGCATCCTTCCAGCATTTAATCAAAGTAAACATTTTTAGCATTTAGTTTATTTAAACTGAGGTTGAATGCAACACTGTTGTAATGCTCAGTGAACCATTCACTTTTCATTGATCATGGGAATTCCGATTCCTCTTCCCCTGTGTACTTGTAATCACAGGTAGAGCTACTCAGAATTTAGACTTCTGGTGCCATAGTTCATCAGAACTAACTCATGGCTTCATGGATGGGAAAGGAAATAATCCTGTTTTTATGGCATAGATTTTTATTTGCTTTGTTTTAAGGGATGAGAGATGGCAAGGCTAAATTCCCCAAATCATAATACAGGAAGTTGGTTATGACTGCTAGGCAAATGTTCTACTAGAGTCTGTTATAGTTGACTATTCAGAGATACTAGAAAAATAGACTTTATGCCTCAGATTTTAAAAACTTTGATCGTGTTTTCAGACTTTGTTTGAAGTTAGTTCCTATAGCTTTGAGTTCCTGGTCTATCTCTACTGATAAAGGAATGAATTTAAATATTCTTTTCTAGTCAAAAAGGTCGTTCCCAATATACTGTTACTTCTTCCCATGTCAGAACAATATTGTTTATGTTGCAGTTTTTTTCCCTATAGCTGCAGAATAAACTTAGGCATGCTTTTGACTAAATGTGTTTGAATTGGCTATTCAAGTCATCTGTGTTTTCTGTTAGAAATTTTAAGTATCACCTTTATTTTTAATGACTAGACTTTTTTAGGCTTGATGTTTTTGGAGAACAAAATAGCCACACATAGTTAATAACTATGTATGTATAAGTATATGTATCAATGATGATACAAATGGTCAACTACAATTTTCTCTCTGTATTTTTATTAGAGTTCACTGTTAGGAAATAAATTGGAATAAATAATAAACTGTTATAAAACTGGAATGAATAAACTGAAATAAATCTGGTTTACATGTAGTGTGTACACAGGGATTAGGAAGTAGGGTGTGCAGAGACTAGGAAGCAGGTATATGTCTTGTTTTAGGAGGTGGTAACATTTTTGATTTTAGTCTTCCATGAGTTTGGTTGTTCTCTATAGTTGGAACTAATGTCCAAAATTCGATTAGATCTGATTATTTGATTCATTAACTAGAAAAAGACTAGAATGAGGCAGAAAGGCCACCTTAGCCTATTGGTCACTTTAAAAAATGTTTTATATGTTCTTCTGGCCCATCTCCCCTTTTGTAAATTAACTAAAGTCCATACTTTATTCAGATCCCCTGCCTTTTAAAAACAGTTTAAACTTACTTGGATGATTCAAGTTCAGGAACATTGACCAGTGAGGAATGGTAGCTATTTTGTAAAAGGTCTAGCTAGCATACAGCTACACGTGAGGATATATTTTAAAATGATAATGAAGTACAAAAATTTTTAGTCTGGAGAACTGAAGTGAGATCTCTTTTGCTTATTGGTGACAGTGTCATCTTTATATCTGTACCAGTCAACTCACAATTATGGGTTAATCTTAAAAGTTTCCAAAGCAAGTTCGACATTTCTGTTACTTGTTATACCTGTATAACATCCCTTACTGCTTATATCTGTATTTTATTTAGTTCATAATTCTCTTGTCCTTTATAGCTCTGCTAGTATATATAAAAGTGTCTTCTTATAAGACACTTTTACATAATTTCTATTTCCTTGAATTTCATTTAGTATTAGTGAACTGCCAGAGATTCTTAAAACATGCCTTTTATTAGTGTACTAAAGTTACGAAAGTGCTACATAAAACGATTGGAAACATCTTAGATATTTAGAAAGAATTTGCTTTACCTTTTCTTCAGTTTATACCCAGAATCTAGCCCAAGAATCATACATGATTTTCTCATTCAAGTTGGAGAAGAGCATTCAACTGTGGTATGGGTTACTTAAAAATTTAATATGCATGTATATGTTTTTTGCTTTAACTTTCTATTTAAAGTATTAATATAAATAACAAATTTGCTTGTCTTCTTTCCTGTATTGGAAGTTTATGTAATAGGTACGGAGCTTTTTTTTTTTTTTTTTAAATTTTTAACATTTTTTTAATTTATTCATGAGAGACACAGAAATAGGGGCAGAGACACAGGCAGAGAGAGGCAGAGAGAGAGAAGCAGGCTCCATGTAGGGAGCCCGACATGGGACTCGATCCCGGGTCTCCAGGATCACGCCCTGGGCTGAAGGCAGGCACCAAACTGCTGAGCCAACTAGGCGTCCCTAGGTACGGAGATTTTAAGCATCTTTTCATTTTAGAAGACAGTAGTGCCCTTCAGTGGGAATTAATCATGCCATTCAGTATTAAACCACTTACTAATTAAAGGTCATTTAAAATTTTGTAGTTAATTGTAGCATATCACCACCAAATATTTTTATTTGGCAAATATATGAACTAATTCATAGTACTTTTTTTAAGTTCGTGTTAAGAAAATACGCTGTCATACTGGGCATGATAACAGATGCTGAAGATCATTTGGTAGACAGGCAGTGTAACATAGGATTAAGAGTTGTGTTCAGATGGACCTGGGTTCTGCTGACCCTGCCACTAAATTAGTGTGGTCTCGGACAGGTCTTTTAATCTCTTGGTGCTTCATTTTCTTCATCTGTAAGATTAGAAATATTCCAACATTTCAGGGGCGCCTGGGTGGCTGTTGGTTAAGCTTCTGCCTTCAGCTCAGGTCATGATCCCAGGGTCCTGGGATCATGCCCCCAGTTGGGATCCCTGCTCATCCAGGAGTCAGCTTTTCCTTCATCACTGCCCCCTCTCCCCTCCGCCCCTTGGCCCTGGCCTTTGCACCTGTTCTCTCTCTCTCAACTAAATAAATAAAATCTTTAAAATCTGAAAGTGCAGCCAAGGAAGAACTTCCAAGTTGTCATAAAGGAACTGAAGTGCCCATTATGGGTTTGTCCATTATGAAGTCTTTAATACCTTTACATTTAAAACTTCAATAATTAGGGCAGCCCAGGTGGCTCAGTGGTTTAGTGCTGCCCTCAGTCCCGGGTGTGATCATGGAGACCCTGGACCGAGTCCCACATTGGGCTCCCTGCATGGGGCCTGCTTCTCCCTCTGCCTGTGTCTTTGCCCCCCCCCTCTGTCTCTCATGAATAAATAAATAAAATTAAAAAAGTTTTTCAATAATTAGAATAGAAGCAGAAACTGCTTTGCCTTGCAGTGAAAAGCAAGTAGAAGTTAAGGCATTAAAAATAGTGTTATGAGCCATTTTCCTAAGAATTTATAAGGAAAGGAAGAGAGTGAGAGGGTGGTGGTTGATAGTCTAGTTCAAGATAGGTAAGGTCCCTTTGGTCCCTATGTATCAGTTAAGAAGGACAGTTTATTATTGGAATTTCCAAAACCAATTTATATTGGGTCCGGACAGCTTTCTTAAAATGATGTTTTGGAGGGCACCTGGGTGGCATAGTCAGTTAAGCATCAGACTCTTGGTTTCGGCTAGGGTCTTGATCCTAGGGTCGTAGCTTGAGCCCTAAGTTGGATTCTGTGCTCAGTGTTGAGTCTCCTTGAGACTCTCTCCCTGTCTTTCTGCCCCTCCCCCATGTGTGCCCACTTACTCTCTCTCTGAAATAAATAGAACTTAAAAAAATAATGTTCTGGAGACTTTCCCAAATTTGCGACAATTGTGACAGTATAAAATGCTGTAATTCTGTTGAACTCCTTTAAGGGTTTAGGCCAGCTGTTTTATCTTGGTTTTACTGTTAAGAAACCTATGCTTCAGAGAGTTTGAGTAATTTACCCAAAGGGAATCCAAAGTAGATTTGGTGGAGCTAGGATTGCAGCCCAAATCTTCTAACTCTAAATCTACTGTGTTGTTAAACCAGGTTACTTTCCTGATCCAGTGGTTTTAGAGTTAGCTATTTAAATGTATTTTTTTTGATAGGTAAAATCTTTTAAGATCTCAATTTATTTTATTATTATTATTATTATTATTATTATTATTTAAAAAGGACTTTATTCATCAGAGAGAGACAGAGAGAGAGGCGGAGTCACAGGCAGAGGGAGAAGCAGGCTCCATGTAGGGAGCCCGACGTGGGACTCGATCCCGGGTCTCCAGGATCATGCCCTAGGCCGAAGGTGGCGCTAAACCGCTGAGCCACCAGGGCTGCCCTAAGATCTCAATTTAGTAGTTGACTGACTTCACTATTTTTCATCCTGAGTGAGAAGTGCCTTTTCTTTATTTCATAGATAATTGCACGGGTTTTTTTTTTTTTTTTTTCTTTCCTAACATAGGTGTGTACACAAATTGCTAAGGGTGACCCTCAGGTGAGAATTAAGCTCCCTTACTTTTTTTTTTTTTTTCCTCCCTTCCTTGAGTGGGGAGTATCTACATAAATTATTTGGAATTTTTTTGGTATTTAGAGTATCTCCTCTCTTTATTTATTCAATCATTTATGTTTTCTAGGACTCCTATGTATTAATTTTATATATTGAGTTATAATCCAAATGATGTTATTTATTTTGTTGCTCAGTTTGTTCTAGTTTTTGTCATTGAGTACCTTTCCAGATTGGCTCTTGTGTTTCCTTGACAGGACCTTATATTTTTAAGCTTTTATTTATTTGAGAGAAAGAGTGCATGAGAGAGAGAGAGAGAGAGAGAGAGAGAGAGAGAGAGAGAGAAGGAGCCAGGGGGAGGGGCAGAAGGAGAGGGAAAAGGAGATTCTCCACTGAGCAGGGAACCTAGCATAGGGCTCGATCCTGGGACTTCAAGATCATGACCTGAGCTGAAGGCAGATGCTTAACCAACTGAGCCACCCAGGTCCCCCCCCCCCCCCCCGTTTTGTTTTTTAAGCACCTTTTTTTACTTGCTGGACCTGGAGATGCTCCAGGCTCATTTTGTATATTCTGTGTGGCAACTGTAGAATCAGCTATTTTCTTAGGAGCCCTGGTTCCTTTTGTTGGAGAATGGTACTCAAAACCAAGATCTGGGCACTGAGTGTGCTCCTGGCTCCTGGCATGTCTTTACTTTTAAACTCTTTTAGCAGAGTTAGGAAATATATTAACCCATGTATATACACATACTTATAAGTATTTCTGTATCCATCTGTATCTGTATTAAAGCTAAACACAAGCTCATAAACTGATGTCTGGATTCTAATCCAGTACCATGTGGTTCATTCTAGCCTTCTTCCTTTACTTCTTTGTAACCTCTCTTCCCAAAGGTGAGACCATCACTGTCAACCATACATTCATTTGTTCGATCTTATTGTACATATATAGTGGTTTCAGAATTGTTAATCTTTTTCCCTATGCAAAACAACTTTACTCACTAGCGTGCAGCGTACTTGTACACCTTTTGTCTTTGGCCTTACAGTTTCTACTCATGATGAAACCATCTTCTAAAGTGTCATCCATTTGTAATCCAGTTAGATGGTTTTGTCACAGTCCCTATTCTATCCTGAGATTTCCCCCACTGCCTCTGCCTGGTGGGCTTTTTTTTTTTTAATTGCATACATTAGGTAAGGTTCTCTCTTTGGTTTATTTATTTTATTTTATTTTATTTTATTATTTTATTTTTTAAGATTTTATTCATTTATTCAGGAGAGAGACAGAGAGGCAGGGACATAGGCAGAGGGAGAAGCAGGATTTAATCCCAGGACCCCAGGATCCTGACCTGAGCCAAAGGCAGACATTCAACTACTGAGCCACCCAGGTGCCCCTCTCTTTGTGCCCCTCTATTTGTCTTTTAAATGGCTAGGATTAAGCTTTATCTCTCTCTTTTTTTTTTCTCAGTGAATGAGAACATCCTTTGTTTCCAAAGGAAATTTCCTTAGTGTCCTACCCTACATTGGCCTAGGTCATCATCTCTTCATTGTTTCTTTTTACTTCTGCTGGCTCCACTCCCTCAGGGGCACCCTCCTCTCTCCCTTTGTGTCAGTGCCACATTGTTTTACTTATTCTAACTTTAAGACTGGGTTTAGTATACAGAATAAGTCTAGTCTCGTCTCAGTACTTTATTTTTCTAACTTCTTTGCTATTCTTTTCTGCCCTCCCCTATCCCTATCAACTTCAGTCACTTTAACCAAGTATAAAAGCAACCAGCTGAACAACAGCCTGCTCTTTTGGCATTTTGATTAGAATGGAAAAAATGGGCATCTTTGTAATATTGAGATTTCCCATTTGGAGCTGTCTGTATATCTATATATATCTGTGTATTTCTAGTTTTTATCTTAACCTTCTAGTTTTGTGGATATCTGAATAAAGGTCAGTTTCTGACTAATCTGGGAAATACTGTTTTTTGATATGAGCTCTATTTTTAAAATTTTATTTTTTTAAGATTTTATTTATTTGAGAGCAAGAGAGGAGAGAGAGAGAGAGAGAAAGAGAATAAGCAGTGGAGAGGGGCAGAGGGGGAGAGAGAGAGAGAGAGAGAGAGAGAGAGAGAGAAGCAGACTCCCTCCTGAGCAAGAAGGCTACTGCAACGAGGGGCTCTATTGGAGGTCCTGGAGATCATGACCTGAGCGGAAAGGCAGATCCTCAACCTACTAAGCCACCCAGGTGCCTCCGTGATATGAGCTTTAAAAATATAACTGCTCTATCTTGCTGTTTAGTTGTGCATCTGTAAAGTTTGAAGCTTTTTACAAAAAGTATTTATGCTTACAAGCTGATATTTGAATATTATTATATCTTTGCCCATTTCATCAGTGGGTTACATTTAAAAGAATTACTTAAAACAGATGATTATTTTATTCAAGGACATTAAGCCTAGTTTTTCAAGAAAACATTATTTAAAGTCTTAAAATTTTTTTGTAGCCTCAAAATGCCTTCACTGTCCACCCTATAGCCCATTCTTTTATTGTGGGGTTAGACTTTTACTGTTTTGGAAGCAAAAGTAAGAAAATCACTTTTCAAAGTGACTTTTTGTAGCCTCAAAGTGACTTCAATACTATATTTTGCGGTGGAGTTAAAAAATTTTAATGTACACATTATTTACGTAATTTTAATTTTATCAGAATCTTGAGATTTTTATAACAAACCCTAGAAACCTTAAAGCAAATTAATTCTTAGAAGTTGTATGCCACTCTTTGATTTCTTTGGGGTGCATTTTATTACATTTTATTATTTTAGAAGCGTAGTCTTTATTAGCTATTAGACTGTAGTCTTAGGTTAGAAAAGGAGTATTTTAAACTACCATCATATTATTAATTGAATACAAGGAAGTAATGCTCATTTGAGATGAGACCATTTCTCATGGAAACTTAGAAATTAAGAAAAAAATCAAATTTATTAATAGCTTGCTTAAGCACAATTTTGGTGCTGTATCCTCTTCAGATCTTGCTTTTGGGTTACTTTTCAAATCCTGCCACTCCCTTTCCCCCCTCCCCACTGGAAATTAGGGAATAGAAAATGAGTTTGTGGGCAGAATTTGTGCGTTAAGAATACCAGAGGGCTTTTCACACTGTGACACCTATAGAGCTGTTTCTTGATTTTCTAGTCTGAGTTTTAAACTCAGACCTCCCATTTAAAATCATATTTTTAATATTTCTTCAAATTCTTGGAATCTTTCCTTTTTAAGCACAAGAAATAGCAGTGGTATTTTCCAGTTGACATTTCGTTTTTGTTTTTGTTTTTACAGTAGATTCATCTGAAAATTACATTAAGACAAAGACTTTTGAGGGCTTCTGTGCATTACATCTTGCTGCAAGTCAAGGACATTGGAAGATTGTACAGATTCTTTTAGAAGCTGGGGCAGATCCTAATGCAACTACTTTAGAGGAAACCACGCCACTGTTTTTAGGTAAAGTATGCTGTTTGTAGTACAGATGCAGTTTTTTATTTTTAATTTTTTTCTTAAGGAAACTAAACTTAATTTCCTCTCCACCTGCTCTACTTACAGTATGTTCTATGGCAAACATACTGCCACTTCTTGGATTCTAAAACCGAAAAGGTGTCTTTAAAGGTTTCCCTATTGTTTTCCACCCTTGAGTGATAGCATCTGGGATATCTTTAAACATTTAAAGTTGTAAAATCCATTCTGAACTGTCATTGTTGTTCTCAATATTGTTCTGAGGACTTTGCATAGCTTAAATTGTAGCAATAGTACAAGGTTACCTGTGAATGTTTTGTTTGCTTTTTCTTTGTGTTAAGAATTGAGGTTTTTATGGAAGAAATCACTAGTTAAATCTTTAATGCCAGTTAATTTGTTGCCTCTATAGATCACTATTTAGACTTCTTCAGCTATAGACTATTTTTAATTCCTTAAGGACAAAGGACAAATTCTAACAGACACACTCCTAGTACCTGTCTTTTTTTCTTCCCTCCCTCCCTCCCTCCGATCCTGTTTTTCCTTTCTTTGAACCTGTTTGTCTTTAGGGACAGTGTGGCCCTTAAAGCTTAGTGGAACATGAGAAAATTAAGAGACTAAAACATTTGTATAGGATCAGTGTATCTGGACTACACTTTTGGTCTTAGGATCTATAATTTGTATGTACATTTATTTGCTATATGCTTTGGTTTCCTCACATGTGAGATGAGAGTAATAGTACCTACACAGTAATAGTACCTACACAGTTTTTATTGGACTGAGAATAAAATGAGGTGCCTGTGAAAGTACTTTATTTCTTTTCAGCATAATGTATACCTTAAATTTATAAATAGTAAAATTCATTCTTTTAATATATAGCTCAATGAGTTTTGATGTATGCATAAAATTGTGTAATGACAGTAATAGTCAAGACAAAGGACAGCCCCATCAGCCTCCCCCCCCAAATTCCATCATACTGCCTATTTTTATTTCATAGTGCCTATTTTTGTCGTTGTTGTTAAAGATTTTATTTATTCATTCATGAGAGACATAGAAAGAGAGAGGCAGAGACATAGGCAGAGAGAGAAGCAGGCTCCATGCAGGGAGCCCGATGTGGGACTCCAGGATCAGGCCCTGGGTAGATGGTCTACTGCTGAGCGACCCAGGCGTCCCAATGCTGCCTATTTTTAATGACCCCCCCCAACTTTACCCTTAACAACTACTGATCTATTCCCCCCCCTTTTTTTTTTGCTTTTTTGCAGAATATCATAAACATATATGGAATAATACGTGTAACTTTTGAGACTGATTTCTTTCACTTAGCATAATGCTTTAGGGATTCATACATGTTGCATTATTAATAATTCATTCCTTTTTATTGCTAAGTAGGATTCCTTTATATAAATGTATCACAGTTTATCCATTTACCAGTTGATAGACATTTGAGTTGTTTTCAGTATTTGGTGATTATGAATAAATTGATGCAAATATTTGCATGCAGGTTTTGTTTGAATGTAAGTTTTAATTTTTCTTGGATTAATACCTAGGATTGTTGGGTTATGTGGTAAGTGTATGTTTAACTCTGGAAAACAATTCAGAAGTTTCTTACAAAGTGACTATACAGCTTGTATTCCCTCCCTCCAGTAATGTTTGATAGCTTCATTTGCCCCAAATGCTCACCAACAGAATTGAAAATTCTTTTTTGCTTTTAGTGGCATCTCCTTGTGCTTTTAATTTGCACTTTTACTTGCTGGTAGTGATCTAGAACATCTTTTCATGTGATTATTTGCCTTCTTTCCTTTTTCTCACCAATTACTTTTGTGTTTAGATATTTTGTTTTGAAATAATTTCAGACTTTTGAAAATGTTTTCACAGTGCAAAGGATTCATATACTTTTGACCCAAATCTTGTTCTTTTGCTGTGTTCAGTTTGTGATTTTTTTTCTTTCTCTGTATTTATCCATAGATTTTTTTTTCTGAACCCTTTGAGATTAAATTGTAGACCTAATGCTTCTTTACCTATAAATACTGCAGTATGTGCTTCCTAAAAACAGTGAAATTGTCTTATATAACTGCCATCTGATGATGATGAAAATCAGAAAGTTAACATTGATATAGGTTAGTTATTTAATCTACAGTTCTTACTCAGTTTTGCCAGTTGTTCCACCAATGTCCTTTATAAAAACAACATAATTTGTTAGTTCAGGATCCAGTCCAAGATCACTTGTTAAATTTAGCTTTATGTCTCTTTAGCCTCCTGTAATTAGGAACAGATTTTTACTCCTTATCTCTTATGATTTTAACATGTTTAAAATTTTAACAGTTTTGAAAAGTTCAGGTCATTTATCTTGTAGAATGTTTTTCGGCTTGGGCTTGTCTGATGTTTTTTCTTGATAAAGTTCTGGTTATGCATTTCTGGCAGGAATATCAAGGAAATGAAATGGTATCTTAGTACATCTTATCAGGAAGAATATGACCCATTACTGGGTCTGCCATGTGCAGTCACCAGTACTGATGATGTTAATTTATAAAAGTATTTTGAATATATAAAATGTGTAATTATGAAGATGTTTCATGGAAGCTTTGCTATAGTATGGTTTGTGTTTCCTAGAGGGGAGATTTCTTTTTTATATAAGGTTTTTTTTTTTTTTTCCACACGCACATTTTTTTTTTTTTAATTTATTTATTTATGATAGTCACACAGAGAGAGAGAGAGAGGCAGAGACACAGGCAGAGGGAGAAGCAGGCTCCATGCACCGGGAGCCCGATATGGGATTCGATCCCGGGTCTCCAGGATCGTGCCCTGAGCCAAAGGCAGGCGCCAAACCGCTGCGCCACTCAGGGATCCCATTCCACACGCACATTTAACCCACTTTGGATATTGTGTACACAAACACATAGTAAGCTTTCATTGTGGCCTAGCCATGTGCAGTCTCTATTTGAGTTGTTGTTTTTAAGAAATCTACCATATAGAAGAGTGAACAGAATTACTTAAGTCTTATAAAAGAGATGGAAATAAAGTATTCAAGATCTTAAAAGAAGGCAATATAAGTCACCTTGGGATAATAGAGGAAGACGTGCATGGTAACTGTATTAATAGTAACTACAACATTTACTGAGCACAGTGTATACGAACCCCCCGTCAGGTGTTTTATACCTGAATTAGCTAATTTAATTTCCATTATGATTCTATGAGATATGTACTATTATTATTTATGCTTTTATAGGTGAAGAAGATATATAAAAACACTGTATTTAGGATCAGAAGAGCTATATTTGAGTCTTGACCCTGCCATTAGCTGCATGTTGGCTAGAAGAGCATTTTTTGATTTGATGAACTATTAATAGAATTAATAGATGTTCGTTGAGAAAAGGGTTCCTGATCAACCTGTGTTTGATAAATACTGTGCACTGTATTCCCCAATGTAGAAAAAACAAAAAATATTAGCTCTGTAGCTTAATGTGTCCATTCAGAGAGGTATCTTCTATACTGTTACCCCATTTTCGTATCTTCATAGCTCTTCTCACTGACTGCATTTTATTTATTTGCTTTTTTTGTTAATCGACTGTCCTCTCCACTAGAAGGAATGCTCCATGAGAGCAGGCATTTTACTTATCTTGTTCCCTGTTGTAATTTGCAAACCCAGATAAGTGCATGGTATATGGTGGCATTTAATAAATTTTTTGATGAATGAAAGTCTTTCTCAGACCTGTTATAAAACAACATTTGTTTTAACTTTAACTCGGCATTTTGGAATATATTTGACCATAATATTCTTTTTCTTTGTGGAACACTTAGGAAAATCTCAGAGAACACTGACATTCCATGGAACAATTTGAGAAATGCTAGTTTGCTGGTTAACAGTTTAAAAATTTTATAGTCCTGTTTATGAAATTCAGTATTATATGTAAACATGTGGAAAAAATTAGAGATGCAGAGTTTTAGTGATTTCTATTTTAGGATATAGTTAACTTGTAATTTTTTATGTTAATGAAAGAACAGTTGCTAAGATAATTCAAACCAGTGAATAACTTTAAATCATTTATTTTTAGTAACGGGATTTATTTAGTTTCTTTGGCAGCAAACTGACTATCCTAATTATGTTTTATATTGGCTAATACAAAAAATTATTTTACTCAAGCAAGGAGGTTAACTTCAAGGAGATGTATGTAGTACATGTAGGACTTTTAGGTGCTCAAGTAGAGCATCAATTATGCTAGGTCCTTATTTGGAAGTAGAGTATTTCTTTAAAAAGGAAAAAATATACTTTTAGTTTTTGCGGGAACATAGGGTCAAGGGATGGACATATGATTCTTCAGTTAGGTGATGTGTACACAGTGTTTGCTTGCCTGTAAATAATATGACAAACTTCAATCTGCTTTTCTTTTCTTTATCCATCTACTTCTCTTAAACAACCATAGTGATCCACGTTTCAGTCTATAATGGAAGGGCTTCTTTTACTAAAATAAAATCTAGGACACTTAAGGTTTGTGACAAACTATAGATGGTAATGTCTTGATAAGAAGAGTGGCTGGGTCAGCTGAACTTAAAGTCAGAAAGGGGAACTGCCTGTCTGGTGCAGCTTCCTTCTTGGTGTAGGAGTTCTCTTCCAAAACTGGTCTTTGCTAAAACTTTGAAGTATTGAAGTATGTTTTCCTCTCCCCACAGGGAAGCTGTATTTCCATACAAGTTACTGTAGTACCTGTCTTGATGGCCTAGCTACCACCTAGACTGTTGCTGGAGGCTATAAATATAAACCTGGAGGATTAAGGGGTAGAAAATGAATATAGAACTATGGAAATTTGGTAGGTAACTTGGAAAAGTCATTGACATTGGTGTTTGAATATGATTGAACTGAAGGCTATATGCAGAGAGAAACTATGCTCCCCCACCATTTATAATGGGGACATATTTTCTACACAGAACTCGTCAAGATGTTTATTTTTAAGAATTTTTAAGTAGGATGCATACCCCTCAACATGGAGCCCAATGCA